TATTCTTGGTATGTTTTTACTTATGTTAGTATATGCATTTGCTGGTGTTATACTATTTGGTTGTGTTAAATTTGGTCCTGAACTTGGACGACATGCTAATTTTAAAACAGTACCTAATGCAATTGTTCTACTAATGAGAATTGTTACTGGTGAAGATTGGAATAAAATCATGCATGATTGTATGGTTGTACCACCACGATGTACACGTGGTGGTTCATATTGGGAAAGTGATTGTGGAAATTCAACAGCATCAATACTTTATTTTTGTTCATTTTATATTATAATAACATATATTGTATTAAATCTTCTTGTAGCTATTATTATGGAAAATTTTTCATTATTCTATTCAAATGAAGAAGATGCATTACTTAGTTATACAGATATTCGTCATTTTCAAACAGTTTGGAATATGATTGATACAGGACGTAAAGGTATTATACCAGCTCGACGTGTAAAATTTTTATTAAGATTACTTCGAGTAAATATTTAATTTAATAAGATAAATCTTTCTCTCTCTATATATATATATAATGTATTTCATAGGGAAGATTAGAAGTAGATGCAGAAAAACTCTATAAACATATGTGTTATGAAATTGAAAAATTAAATAATGGTAATGATGTAACATTTCATGATGTACTTAAGTAAGTATAAAATTAGTTTTTTTCATTTTTATATATCATCGATTATTGTAAAACATAATCTATGAACTATAGAATGTTCTAAAAGTTCGACACAAAATAAAATTTTCACAATTTAATTTTGCAGGAATTTTTTTCTAACAATTGTTTATTTATTTATTTTTTTTCTTTCAATAGTATGTTAGCATATCGTTCAGTTGATATTCGTAAATCATTACAATTCGAAGAATTACTTGCTCGTGAAGAACTTGAATATTTAATTGAAGAAGAAGTAGCAAAATTAACTATACGTAATTGGCTTAATAAATGTTTAAAGCGTATCAAAGCAAAAGATCAAACAAATGTTATTAAAAATTTACAACGTAGTAATGAATTAGCATTTTTTCGTGAAGCACAAGCAATAACAACAAATGAATCATTAAAACGAACAACAGATAATATAACTAATGAAGAAGAACGACGAATAAAAAGTTTTGATGAACGACAACAACCGATACAAAAAGATGTTGCCAAAAAAAAACTTGATAGAACAACTACATTACCAACACCTTCAAATGATTTCAATGTAGGATATCTATTGAATATTCTTTTTATTCAATATCGTGTTTTTCTTTTTTTTTTAGAATTCAAACTATCGAACACAAACAGGTACACGTGATACATCTACTGAATCTAAAGGAGGAGGAGGAGGAGGAGGACGACGACCAATTTCACAACAATTACAACAAAATATTAGTTTGACTTTAAGTAATGATGAATCTTATCCATGGCGTTCATGGCAAACAAGTAATTTTAATCATGGACGACAAGATGTTGAATCATGGTGGGCTAATCAATTTCAAATGTCAACTTAAAGTAACAAAAAAAGAAAAACAAATGTATACCTCCGAATAGATTATATTCAAAATATTGCGGTGCTTTATATGCTCTTGGTTTGTCTTGTGTATCATATGAATTCGTATTGATGTAGTCGTTGTTTTTATTTCCAACAGTTCTTTTTTTTTCGGTTAAACACACATCTAGTCTATTTTTTTATAAAAACAAAAGAGGGATATATAGTATAAATTAGACATTGTCACGTTATAGAATATAAAATAAATTGGTAAATTTCTATCTAGGTTGTCAATGTAATAAAAATTTATATATATAATTATATAGTTTTTTTGAAAGATAAAATTTCAAGAAAAATAAAAGTACTTTTATCATCTTATAGTATAATTATAACATTCGTTTACATATGAAAGTATATAAACAAGCAATTTGTTCTCTGTAAAACAATCTATTGATTAGATATGAAATGAAAATAAATTATAATAGTTATTGGTGTTCAATGTGTTTGTATTGTTGAATACTAAAGAAAAAGAAGCCATGCTCGGGTGAGAATATAACATCTTATGAAACTTTGATAATTTGTTGTTGTCATACTTCGGATTATTCATTTTCAAGATCATTGTTCAACAAAATGTTTTTGATATAGTTTCTTGCACTTTCAATTGGAATGGAGTAACATTAGATATCACAGAGTGATATAAGTCATAAGTCTAGAGTATTATTCATCTGATATCATGACTTGTTCATTATTAGAAAAAGAAAATATAAATTACATGAACGAAAGATAATTATTTTATATTAGAGTCCCGTTATTCTTTTGAATCGATACTATCGGAAGGTAAGAATAGAACTGATAGAATCAACGGCAGAACGAGCAATTCTGTAGAATTATGACTTTTATAATCCACATATTCTTCTTTTCTATTGCCAAACAATAGTTAATTATCGTAACAGTAATATTGTTATCTAGGATTTAACTACAAAATGTCATACTAGTTCTGATGCCAATCCATGTGTTATCTTTGTTGTACTATTTTAATGGATAGTAAGACATATTCATTGAGTACAAGATATTTCTTACCTAAAAATTCACAGAAATGATAACTGGCTAACGTCATTCTCCAAAAGTCTGTTAAAGAAAAATGAAGACCAAACAAAAATTTATTCTCAGTTGTACGTTTCATCTTCATATATATATATACTATATTAAGATTCAAATATCCATCACTTACAAAAAGAATTTTGTTGCAGTGTGCTTCCGTTCTTTTGAATATTTTCGATTCTTGACAAGGATATAATCAATCAGCTTGAAATCTTTATCATTGATATAGAGCCCTAAGAGGAGGGAGAAAAATGTTGAAGAAAAAAATTCTAAAGAATCTTTTCGCCTTTTGTTTTTAGGAAAACTCTTGGTTTCTATACGATTGCACCTTGCCACATTACGAACTCCTTTCGAAATGTATTCGATTTGGTTAACATGTTTATCACAGAAACTTGGAAGTGTTTTCTACAAGTAAAATTGACTATGTTCTTTTTTGACTTTCCTAGAAAACCAAGCTTTTCCCAAAAAAATCGCGAAAATTTCCTTTAAAATTTGTTATATGTTTCCTTCTTCTAGGTACTCTATCTGTGATAAAAATTTCATGCTGATTGTATCCTTTTTGAGAATCAGAAGTGGTTAGAAAAAGGAGTACACTTCGTGAAAAGATCAGTTATTTTCTACTTTAATCTTGAGGATGGTATTTTTTTTTATTAAAAACTCACCACTAACTTATTACATGGATACAAAATATTCATGTTGTTGAAAACCATGTCTATTTCGAGCATCGAAACGTAAAATGCCACATCATCTGTTGTACGAACTTGAAGCATAGCTCGTAAAGCGGATGGATATGTAATATAAACAAATTTTATCTCAATTTTATCGGAAACAAACGTTTTTTACGAGTGTGTGAGTGAGAAACTGAGTTCAAAGCATCGCAATTTTTTAAAGATAATAGCCAACAAACGGAAAAACACTATTCATCACCGCGTTTCACGGATGCTAATTATATTATATCGCATTAAATAACTAGAGTCATAAATATCTCTGTAGCATGATATTAAGTACGTATGCGCTCTAAGTACGCAACAGAGACTGACGGGACAGTGAGAAACTATTCCATTAAGGCCCGTCGGAAGCTGTCTACAGACTATATTTCGTCTCGTCTCGTCTAGAAATTTTCAATACCATCCCATCCCACGTCCCGCCAAGAATTGTTTAGTCCCGTTCCGACTAATCCCGCGAGAATCTTTTCGCCTCAAGAACATGACGAATAGCTGCGACCATCTACTTTGCTCGGCGTGGAATCCATGTACAAATATGAATTGAAAAGAATAACTTTCAAAATTAACAATTGTGACGAAATGAGACAGAATGAACAACTATACTCATAAGTAACTATATATATACATTGCATTATCTATGTCAGACAAATTATCTTATGGTCATTGTCTCATCCCTCAGTCATCGTTCATCTCATCCCCATCGAATTGATTGTCACTATTGTTCTTTTTCTGATTAAATGTCTGTTTACACAAGAGTCGAGCGTTGTGACAATCATTATTCTTCTCCTCTTGCGACAAAGAAATCAATTGCTATTCTGATGCACTACGTGGACGGTTATTTTTGCTTTTTGTTCCATTGCCGAAAGTAATCGGAAGAAGGATTGAGTCTCGCGTATCCCGCATCCCGTGATCTTTGGTCCCCTATCCTGTCTCGTCCCGTCCTGTCTGGGACGAGACGGACCGGGATTGGTCCTGTGTCCTGTCACTCTCTGGAATCCAACACTACTACTATGATGTTTTAATAGTGCTTCAATGCAACTAAAGTCGTATTTAATACTTAATACTTTTCATGGTTTCTAATTATTTTTCGGTTGAAAACAAGTGATCACTATAGCTCACTTCTCTAAATGCAGAAGGTACTATGAATTCGTTCTTTATACGCCAGAAATACAATAAAGTACTTTTGAAAGTATAAAAATTAATATAATATATTTTATGATTTCGAAAGGCACTATTCAATACTTTTAAAAAGATCAAAAGTCGTTCGAGTTACTTTTTGAAAGATCAAAAGTCGTTCGAGTTACTTTTTGAAAGATCAAAAGTCGTTCGAGTTACTTTTTGAAAGATCAAAAGTCGTTCGAGTTACTTTTTGAAAGATCAAAAGTCCAATGAAGTACTTTAAATAGTGTAAAAATGAATATAACAACATCTGTAAATGAAAAAGTACTATTAAGTACTTTTAAAAGTGCAAAAAGTACTAGACCTCACTAGAAAAACTGAAAAATAATAAGAAACTTTAATTTATTTGACTTTATTAATATTTAATATACTTAAAAGTGGATCTTTTTCACTTTTTTTAAAATGACAACCACATCCCCATCCGAGAATGATATGAAACAATAGTCTGGCAATCGGGTTTTCTGATAACTGAAAGGTTTCTGGGATCGAATCTCAAACAAATAAAATATTTTCTCTCGCAATTCATTCAGCAGCTACTTTCTGCAAATAAAATCATTTTTCAAATCATTGAGAAAAATTTACTTCTTCTCATCCATGAAAATAACACGGTGCCTTTTTGCCAATACTATCCAAACAGAACGCACACAACTACTTCAGTATGCCGATTTCGACATTCAAGGGTCCGATGGACTGTAGTTCCAGGCATCGCTTGAAATCCGTGTTGATATAAATTGAGCATACTCTCGCAAGACGATTTGTTCAATGATTCTATTCAATATCGTAAAGCATTTATTTATTTACAACACTAATCGAGAACTGCATGCGGTCCTATCAAAATACATCATCTAAGAAGTTTACTGGTATTCTTCTTTGAATTCCACACGTTTTTCTTTCGGCCATTCGAGCGTATAGTCTAATGGAAATCGATATTCTCCATGTGCTTGCAATACACATTTCCATTCTAAATTGTTCCTATCGTTCATTGTCACCGTACAGTTACGTGCGTAATCCTTTTGTCGTAGATCAGGAGTGATCAGCTTCACTTTGATCTTTTCATCCGAAGATAGAGGCAATTGTTCGTAGACAAATACTGTGATCTCGGTTGATTTCGTATTCACAATGTGTATCTCATGACGAATTGTCTCATGATGCACTTTCGAGATAAGACCTTGTGTGTCAACCATTCTTTTCACCGGTTTGTATTCTACCTTGACACTGATATCTGTACCCAATGGAAGGTCGAATGTATCACCAACACAAACATTATCGATCGAACTATGCGTGATAAAATTATTGTCCATAAACACAGATACTGGTCCAGCAAGAAGTTGTTTATCGGATGTATTCACGGTTGACGCTTTGAGATACGCACGAAGTGACATTTTCGGTACAACAGTGTATGTGAATGTTGAAGTAAGTTCTAGAACACCAATCGTAACTTTGTGTGGTTTTCCCTAGGAAAAATAAAAAAAATACGTAGATATTCGAAATCACTGGATAGAATACTAACATCAGAATCGATGGTTGATCGACGAGGAATAACAAAGCTGGTACTAGACATGCTGGCTTCGGTTTTAGAGGCGAGAACATTAACTTTCGTCTCAGCATCATCATCGTCTTCATCTTCAATGGTCAGATCATAAGCAAGCGTCGATTTACCACGAAATGATCTGAATGCACCCTTTGCTCGGTTCATAGGCACACGTGCAGCCATAACTCCACCTGCTGAACACATACTACTCATATAGTCCATTGATTCTGATCGAAGCGTTCGCTTAGGATAAATGATCAGTGGTCTGTAATAGTCAATTTTGAGTGTGTTCAATTTCGGTGGAGTGCCACCTAAGGACGGTCTTGCTGTCGACAACGAGAAATTCGCATCGAGCCAGTTCTCTTGGCTTTTGTTCACCTAGAGATCAGTAAAGCTCATGAAGTATTTTTTGAACTCAATGAAGATTTGACTACTTACAATAATCCCATAATATGTTAACTGTGTTCTCTGTCGATTTGCTTCGACACTGCTGACACGAACATCGTAACTGGCACTCCAAGAACAATTCCCGATCAAATACGAAACTTCGAGTGCCACATCAATTTTACCACTAGCTATATGAACTGTAATCGTCACTTCTCGACATATCTTTCGTCGATTCGCTTGGGCTACAGCGCCGTGTTCATTGATTTGAGCGTTCAAAGCATCTTGACGAGCATTCAATTTCTTGACTTCCTCTTCTTCCTGAACTGTTTCATCGTCGAGTTTCGATAGTGTTTTGTGATAGAACTCGAGAAATTGTTGCATATTCTCCATATCACTTGTTGTACAAGGCCCATCTTGATTCATTAATTTGGTTGAGCGTCCATCAAGCCATTCCCGTTGTTTCGTGAGTCGTGCCAATTCACGTTTATGCATCTCTATGTCAGTTTGCACGTTTTCAAGTTGGCTCTGGAGATGATCCAGAGACGTCAATTCTGATGATGGAGCGACATCTTCATATCGCGTTTGGTATGAGACTTCAAGGATGGTGCATGATTTGCCTGTTCCACCACTAACATGCAATGATGTTTCATCCACAAATGTCGAAAAACCATCGAGCACGAGATCATACGTGCCTTCGACATCGAAATGATGTCGTAGGATTCGTGTCACTTCTGCACGATCATTGTAGACAGTGACATACTGAATAGGACATTTTTGATCAACATTGAAGCGAACAGTAGGAGTTTTTGCCACTGCCATTGATGCGATCAACGTGTTTGTTGTTGCTGTTTCAGTCATAGTAAGTTAGAAGAATGAATGCTTTGTGTTTTTTTGCGTTGTATACACATATAATAATTACTCAATGTTGTGTAATGTTTTTCTTGTTTCAAATATTCACGTAGAATAGAGAAAGAAAGAAGAAAAGAAAGAGAACGGTCTGAGCTACATGTCTTAGTCAGACTGCGTGGCATATACCATGGTTGTCTTACGCGTTGTACGTAAAAAAATAGCTACGAGGAAAAAGAAAAAAATTGAGTCATTATGGAAAAATGTCAGTGTTATTATCGATGTGTGAGTGAAGAGCACTGCCATTATACCGTTGGATGAAAAAGATCAATGAAAAGAAATATAATAATAAAAGAAAATTATGTGTTGCATTTTATATAGCGATGTCGCTTTCGTATGAAAATAATATTTTCCTGTATCGGGACCGATTTCTGTATGCTATTTTCATATATCCATCAATCTTAGTATATCAATAACATATGGTGCAAAAGTAATAGGACAAATGTCAGCATCTGTGTCTCTTCGATAGAATGATGCTCGAAGAAAACTTTTTTTTATCAGAAGATAGAAAAATTTTTCCTCTTTCGAATCATAGGTAATTTATTTTTATCATAAGTTCATAAATGTAATGACACAGCTGGAAAGAGAGGCATCCTTAAAAAGAATCTGCACTTTGCGTGAGATTCAGGAAAAAGGCGCAAAATGTTGTTTCCTATAATTCTTCGACAAACACATTTTGAAATGAATATTTTGTTATTAGTTGATAGAAAATTTACTTCTCTTCCGAACACTGTATGGTTTATATTCGTCGCACATGTGTAAATGAAATAAGACATGAAAAATGAAAATATCTTATTAGACAACAGCTAGTTGTGATTCACTGTTATCTACAAGATATTTTAAATAAAACTAAATTTTCTCTAGAATAGAGAAAGATTTCCGCTTGATTTCTTGAGAGATGACTCTACTCTATGAGTTGAAAAAAGGTGAAAATTTTTCTGTCAAACAGTTCAGTTTTCATTGACTTACAGCGATAACAAAACTCAAAAAGTCGCTCTGTATTCAAGTTGAAAATCATCTTTTGTCATATTACATAAAAATTTTTGTGTTAATGAAGTTTATGAAACAAACCTCTTTTACTTCGCAAATTATTTTCTGTCTATTTCTTTTTAATATCCAACCAACTTTATTTAAATGAAGTTTCTTCAAGCGAAATGCCATTGATTTTATTATCGTTCGACACAAAAATGAGAACTGTCTTGACACCTATTATCGATAGGTTTTCATTCATAAAATTTTGTCTAAACCTGAAACGAAAGACATATTCTGATAGTTCTTGAAAAGTTCTAGAATTTTACCTGAAAAAATAATTTTAAAAAATTCATAATGGAATAAGTAAAATATTGGTTGATTTTCGACAGATAGTGTTAGAAGCTAGGTACTTGACCTGTTGTTATTATTTCTCTGAAACTAAAACAAATGAAAACTTGATTTTTATAGACATTTTTCTTTTCGAGACACAACGATACACTGGCTATGCTCTTCACTTGTGTTGATAACGACTTATCAGATAGAGTGTTATATGATAGAACAAAGTCTTTAGACATTTTTAACTCCCATGACAACAGAATGTGTAGTATTGATTTGACAAACAATGCTGAAAATTTCAGACATTCGAGAAGGATTTTATGAGTAATGATTCCGAGGGAATAGTTGACATTGTCTGCATTGACAAATGAACGATGACCAAGAATTCGCATCTATCAATCATTTCAAGCATATCAATAATCCATCAAAATATTATGGATGAAATATCCGTGTGGTTTCTCTCTTGTTTTTATAAAAAATTCGTTGTTCAGTGTATGAATGATAGAAGATTTTGTGGAGCCCACTCTCAAAATGATGATTGCAAATTTTTATCGGAAAACGTTTTGCTCCCATTTTTTCGCTTTAGACACCCTCGCTTAAGGAATCTGGACATTATGCTGATATTCATATAACCTCTCTCTCTCAGACTTTCCTTGTTATCTTATTTCGCTGTTGTTCTTTCCTATGTTCATCTCTCTCTCTCCTATATAAGCATGTGTTGAATGTGAAGTAGCTCAATAAACATCATTAGCGAGGATTGTAGTACGCTATTCCATCCAGTTTGTCATGACAGATACGAACTGCGTAAATATTGTAATTAGTATCAACATGAATTATTGAAAGCATTTAAGCATGCGTGCGAAAGCTAGCGCCCTGCGGTTCCAAAAAAATAGTATCGGAAACCGAATCAGAACAGAATTTTTTCAGTTTCTGTTATCTGAAACCGGAACCATGAAATAAAAGAGGATGGAACTGGAACTGTTGGAACCGAAAACTCTTTTAATAGTAACCAAGGAACCATTCAAATGCATAATCATAGACACTTTTTCTATAGCTGTTTTTCCTTTTCATTCCTAGAGTCAGAGCCTTCACGGGAACTCTTTTTTTTAAAATTTATCTCTTCTCGATGTTTGGTTTTTCTCTTCGAAATTTTTCTTTTGTATCAAATCAGCACATATGATATAGAACCATTTATTCATTAAAAGAATAGAATGATGCAGATTAAAATAAATCAATCATTTCATTTGCTTGTCTTGATCAGAATCAAGTTCCTTCATTTTTTGCCTTTCTGTCGTGCTGATATGCGGTCTTTAACAGCTAATGCGAGAAAGTACAATGGTTCTGGAAACTTAATGGAGAATATGTCCATATTGTATTTTGCCACCCACAATCTCGATGCAGGTTGTCTTTTGAATCGAGCTAAAAGTTCACCTCGACCCTTTTCATAAAATTCGTTAGGAAGAATATCGGATCTGACTTTCAATATTATACATGTCCCATTCCAATGGATGGTTAATTCTAACATTCGCCAAGTGGATGTTTCTGTAATATTTCCACTGATCCACTGATTGGATGATAAATCAAGAAGCGAAATATCAGCAGCATATCTCAGCATTGGCCACCTACCAGCTAATTTACCTACGACTTTTTTTGATGGATAAGCCACTATTTCATTGTTATGTCGGTAAGTAAATCGAGATTCAATACGATATAGTAGATGCTTTTCAGTTATATCATAGATTGAAAATTCACGTGATATGATTCCAGTAAAGAAATCTTTCTTGATAACATAACTGTGACCAAAATTGTGCACATAAGGAATAATATTAACCGTCAATACTAGAATCGACACAACAAAAGTATCAGCTAACATCGTGCTTACGTCGCACGCAATTGATTAGAATGTGGAGCTAGGAGATAATTAAGTTGTTTTTTTTTTATACCATATTGTTATTGATGAATCATACATAGTTGATATACGCCATCGAAGTTTATGTCAATACTTATTGATAATGAGACAACATGTAAAAGAAAATACTTGTTAAAAACCTGATAGATATATCAATTTGTTTGAACTCTCTGAGGCAATCGAAACGAATCAATGAAAGATAAAAATAAGAGTTGAAATCATACGCTTATTAATTTGTTGTAAAATAATGATTCGATGCACATCATCCACCCGATATCACACAAATATACAAAAGTGCAACTGTTTTCTTTAAAGAAATGCTTTTTTCGGCGAAGTGTACAGACATATAATTTATCAATTTCACACTCGAAACATCTACCCATTCTCAGTAATCTGCTGGTCATAACTACACAATCGTTTGGAAACGGTTTCTACAATCTTTTTTAGATATATTGGAACAGAATTAGAACAAATACACACAGAATTTGTCACAAGAGTAGTTGTTACCACAGTTATAAATTTCGAGAAAGACCTGATGCAGAGCGAAAACTAGGATGTGACTGTGAGTGAAGAGAAAATTTATACCAGACCACACACTCACATCCGAGAGTATTTGATATCTACGAAACAAAGAAAGAGATGAAGCAATTTGAGTTAGAGAAACTATAGATATTTGACTTTGCAACTTGTGAAACACTTTGATTATTTTGTTGCTTTGTAGATTGAATGCCTGTCGATATACAAAAGGTTAGTATAAACCGTAAGAAAATTTGTCAATCTTGGAAAAGATTTATTTATGATTTTTTTTAGGAATTATGGACATAAAATCTATGTCTGACAAGGCAAGCTTTTATACATATATGAAAACAATGCAATTCTACTAGATTGAATACAGCCATATCTTTAATATTGGGTGAGCTTAGCAAGAATTGATTTTAAATTGATCGAATGAACCATAGATAGAATATCGTCTTTCATCACTTTCGAATCATTTGCTGTTTCTATCAGCGGTTGCAAAATGTTAACATTTTTGGTCACTGATGCATTCGCCAACCATTCAAAACCTTCCTGAAGACCCTGATTTGTTGTGGCTACTGTCGCTTGTATATGCCATTTCCTATCACCAGTTAATTTGTTCAAAGCAAGTTTATCATGTAATTCATCAATCGACATTGCATTTGGGAGATCTTGTTTATTAGCCAAGATGAGAACGGGTTTATTTCGAAGATCATCGTCATTGACCATTTTATGTAGTTCTTGTGATGCTTCACTTATTCGATCTCGATCATTTGAGTCAACCACAAAGACGATAGCATGGGCCTTTTGATAATAGTGTTGCCATAGGGGTCGAATTTTATCACGACCACCCACATCCCAAGTTGTTATTGTAATATTTTTATATTCAACCTTTTCAACATTGAAACCGATCGTAGGAATTGTTGTCACGAGTTCACCTAGTTTCATGGCATAGAGAGCAGTAGTTTTACCTGAATTAGCGAAAATATAAGTATGTGAAGTAAATTGTCAACGATAGAAACATGAAAATAGACTTACCAGCTGCGTCGAGACCCAACAGAAGTATACGAACTTCTTGTTTTCGAGGAAAATAGGATGCAATTTTGCTGAATGATAAACCCATTTGTGTATGTGCTCTAGATTCTTTTTCTTATCTTACTATATGCACAAACATATATATTTGAATATTTATATGTACATATGCAAGTAATGGCATGTTCTTTGCGAGCAGCGATTCATTAGTTAGTAATGCGTGATGTTTTTGCCACGTTGCACATCGATGTGGCAAAAATTGCACAACCATGATGCAATGACGTCTATTTTCTTTCATTTTGCAAAACTTGTCGACTTTTATTGCATCTTATATGATGATAATCATGATTTCGTAATATGTATCGATGTAGTATCTGTCAAATTCTTCTATTTACGTTCATCACTTAAAGATCAAGCATGCTGCCAATAATTCTCTAACGAATGGAGTCAAACATTTTCTCACATTTAAGGTGAGGATGTGAATCATCTATTTGTTCTCACCCACATCCTGATCTACATCTTCAAACTTGAGAGTACCATTCTTTTCAGAGTTTTAAGTTTCGCAAATGGAGTCAAAATGATATTTTTCCAAAGAAAAAACAATATCTATCATGATTCATTCGGAAATATCACATAGACAAGTTTAATAGTTTTGAATTTAAGTCTTGATTCCTATAACAGTTTCAGAAGAGTCACTGATCAAATGACCTTACAAATAGAATATTAGCTTCTTTTTAATATACCAATGGTGTGCAGAAATACACTGGATGTTCTGTTCTTCGTGTAGAGGATGATTGGATTAGTTTAAAAGTTCTCACTTTTATCTTTCATAATAGTGTTGATTAGACGAAAGCAGTATCTAGTTTATTGCATTGAAATAATATGAAAAAGTAAGAACTAAACGCATGAAAACTAATTTTGAAACACATTTTTAAATAAACATCTTTGTCATAATATAATCGGTGAAGACATTTGATGAATCAGACATATTGTTTCTACTTCTCATTCTTCTTTTCATAATCGATATTTCATGAACTTCACCACCAAAGGAATAAATATTTTTGAGGATTTTGAATTCTACTATGTATCATTCAGTTTTTACAATTGATCAATAAGTGATTATTCCAATGGCCAACAGAGTGTTAAAGTTGAATATTATAGATACTAGACCAATAATTTTTCTCATCATTGCATGTAAGCTGATTTGCAAATTGTATATAAAATATGTACTAGAGTTTATTGTAGCGATTTTACAGGTAGTATTGCAAGAAAACAAAGCCAACAATTTTCTTACATTTCTGTGTTCTCATACCAAGAAATACAAAAAAAAACAAATTTGACTAGCAATTTTTTTAAAGCTCCAGAAGTTCTATCTTATTAGTATATTGAACAAATTTGACTATGAAATCTTGAAGCATAAAATCAGTGTTAATCTTTTCAACTTTTCAAAAAGCTCACTTTTTATCTAGTCTTTTTCCTCTTCTAAGAAAAATACACTGTAATTCAACGATGTATTGTTTTCGATGCGCAAAGTTTTTTTTTCTATTTGAAAGCCATTGAGACATTCTTTGTTATACAAGATACAATTTTTTTCAACAACTTCACAAAAGATGCTTCATAAGATCGAGTTGAAATTATCTCATTTTGATAGCAATATTAGAAAATATCAACAATTAGAGAAATTCGTTTTTTTCTTCGGGCAAATTCTCTTTTTTCAAATTTAATGATTTATCGACAAAATATAAAGTAACAAGCTCTGTGTATAAGACATAAAAAGATTTGGTTGGATTTAATATATGAACTGATAACGGAAATAAATTAATTCGAAAATAAACTTTCTGTAGGATGTATTTTTTTAAAAATTTCAATAAGAAAAATTTTATATATTTCATTTAATGGAAGAAGATACAAGTACAAAATGCATTCTGGTGCAAATATTACCATCCATAAATTCAGAATTTGAGAATTCCCTTCATCAAAGTCGCTCATTCAATCGCAGTCATGATCTTCTTCAACACTGTTCATATGCCATAGATTCTAATCAAAAATATCGTCATGTATTGTCTGCTAATAAGCACAAAATATACGTAACTAAATCCTGATATTTGTGTATCGTGCTATCACATACTGCCATGCACTATGATGTACTCTTATCATATTATTATGTATTGGGTGTGAATGTCACAGTAGTTTTTTCTTCTCCCACGTCCTTCAAAGATGAAGATTTTACGTACGACTTCTGTCAGATCTTATAAGATCAGACAAGATCATAGGACCAATCTTTCAAGATCTTACCATCTGATTGCTTGACTAGAATCTTCATCTATGAATTAAAAAAAAAATTCTTCGAAGTACTTATTTTCGTGTTATAATCCAGTTTTGAATATTATGTTAAAGCATTATCCTATTAATTATGAAAAGTTGGTCTGAGTCAATGTCACCTTACATTGAACTATTATAGAACATCATCAAAGATTAAATTAAACTATCTTCCTCTTTTACATGTACCTACTGTAATTTCTTATACAACTATGTATATGTCCTCTATGAATATATGTAAGGCATAGATTAAGCACAAACATATGTCGCGAAAGCGGCTGACGAAGGGAACCGCTCGAAGTGATTCACTGCATCTGACTCTCATATTTTTTTCACAAGTAGAAGATCTGTAGAATAGAAAAAGCCTATGAAGATGTGGGCCCGTGTTTAGGTTTGGTCTGAAATTTTGTCAAAATCAGAACCATGACTAGACTAGCTTGCAAGCAAAAATTCAGAACTTTTCAGTGTAACATTATTGAGATATGATTTTTCCAAAATATTCACATTGCATGAAATACCTATAGAAAAACGCCTATATTTTAGAAAATTCATCACTCACTAATGTTATGATGTTGCAAACTTCTGAAAATTTTCTTAAGAACTAGTCTTCTAGTGGAAATCTTGATTTAAATAAAGTTTTACATTGAAATTCAAAAGTATGATTTTGTTGCAGAATCAGTGTCCTACACGAAAATTTCATTAAGATTTTCATATATCAACCAAATCACAACATAGACTCATATCCTCTTCGGCTCTTTCTACTCTACAAGTCTTCTACTTGTGGATAACATATGAAAGCAAACGTTGTGAATCACTTCAAGTGGTTTCTTCATGAGCTATATCATTAATTATACTTGTCTACACAAAAAGAAAAATTTTAGAAATTGAAAGACTTATTAAAATTATATCATTATCATCGCAACGATGGAACAGTTTATGTTTCTTTACAATAACCACTTATTCTATCTTAAATAAAAAGGCTTTTATCCTCTGAATGAATTTACCCATATTTATTATCTAAATAAAATCAAAATCATCTATTTGTGAGCATACAATACAACTTTTCTTATGTTTATGTGAAGAGTCTTTAAGTAAGAAAACAAACCGTACTCAATGGTTTTTATCGACAACATATTTCACAAAACCATGTTGATGAATAAGTCTATAACTTTGGATCAATGAACAAATGGCAAAAGTTGATATGATATTAAATAGAAATTTGAATCAATGTTTAATAATAAAAATTAATGCTGAAGCATTTTTACTATCTATAAAGATGCCATCACTTGAACTTTATAAATCATTGAAAGTTTGACAGAAATTTATATTAAAGTAAATTATTTAATTTTAACACAAACACTTTGAACATCTATAAAATTTATTTATGAAGCATGGAAATTTTTATACGATAAATCATCGTAAAAACATTATTTTTCTATTTCAAAAAAATAAAATAAAATAAAATGGTGTATAAATTCAAATATAGTCAATATCTTTTGTTATTGAATGGCGTGTCCAATGAGTAGTGTAATATTGATTGATTATGATCGGTCGATTAATTAAGTATTGATAAGTGAAATATGTAAATAGAGTAACAAGTAATAGAAATGAAAAACACATAGCTAGTATAGAAATCCAATAAGCAGCATTACCAAATTTTCGAGATAAATGTCGATCTTGTTTACCACATAATGACCATATACTTAGAATAATAGCTAATATACCTAAAAGATGGAGAAAATATTGACTATGCTCTGTAATAAGCCTCGAAATGGTCTGCCCAGCCCGAGCTTTATTTCATTTTTCAAGAAAGATCTTTCACGTAAGAAAACAGACAAGGTTTGATTTTAATCGTTCTTAATTCATTTTGAAAAAAAACCAGTTTTAATCGATCAAAAAGGACTGAAATCAATATGAAATCTATCTTTAAAATGGAAAAATCAGATTTCAATCAGAACTAAATAGTGCTATTTTAATCGATTTTATTCTTATTTTTCGTCAAAATTTCTTACATCAGTTTTACATCTCGCAACTAGCAACAATCAGGAATCTTTATGATGCTGACGTTTTGGAAGTTTCATTTAGTTAATAAATAAAAACAGAGCAGTTGCTTGACTTAATGACATTCCTCATCTACACACAAGATCGAGTATACTATCAACTACGTTAAGTAGAATGGGTTTTATTGAAGTAAAACAGCGTTAACTATGTAGTTAAAAAATAGTAACTAATGTGACTCTTTAAAACTGATCGGCGAGGATTTTATTCGTGGAAACTTATGTTAATAAATGATAGTCTTCAAGAATTTGAAGGACCCATTAACACATTTTAGTCTTTCGGTTCAATCAATAATGCTACTTATCTTTCATGCTGATTTGTCAAGCATTAAAATTGTCCAACTTTATTCCACTTATGATCACTATGATAATAAACTTTCTACAATGCTCTAATAAATGGCTGCAGTGCTTGTGGAGTTTCCATCGTTTAAAAATCTTTTTTTTTGCAAAAGAAATATACTTTTAATAGTGATATTCTAGGCTGGGCCGGAACATCAAATAGTGACCAGATTTTAAGACCTATTCTATAAGAATTCGAACAAAATCATCTTTTTCTCAACAATTGTGTTGACACTGGTTTTTTATCTAAAAACATTAGTTAATTCGATTTATAATAGATAACTACCATCATCATAAATCAATAAGACTGTATATACATGATAATAGTATGTGATCTAATGTATTATGATTTTGATACACGCATTAGACTCGAGAA